GGGTTGATTAAATGAGAATCTGCAGGATATTGGCTTCCCATCGATGTTTAGACTCAACCATCGCTGGTAAGCCAATTTTCCTTCAGTTTTGAAGCCAACGGTCACCTACCCATCGATGGGTACAAGCTTCCCATCGCTGGGTGGGAGGTTGACTTCCAAACAAGGAAAGAATCAACCTTAAATGACTTTCAACGGTCATACCTTCCCATCGATGGTTTAACCTTACCATCGCTGGGTTCCCATCGATGGGATAGGCTTCCCATCGCTGGGTAAGGTTGTTCTGCCTTGTGCTAATTTTGTACCAAGGGTTTAACAGCGATGGGTAGAACTCCCCATCGCTGTTTGGCATGGTTCTGGAAATTTGTTTGGCTAAGGGACCGCTTACCCATCGATGGGAAGATCTTCCCATCGCTGGGTGGGTGGTTAGCCAAAAGCCCATAGTCTTTGCCTTAACCACGACCTAGCCAACCGATGCAAAAACCGACCGAAAAATCCAAAGTCCTCCAAAATAAAAACCAAGTGTTTGAAACACTTATTTGATGTATTTGGTTAAGAAATTAAGTGAGTTACTTTAAAAACCACGTCCTTTGAGTAAAAACCACGGCTAGCCAAGTTTATGCCGTTTTGAATGATTTTTGTCAAACGAGCAAAAGCGAAAGATGGTTTTCAAAGTGTTTTTGTTGGAGAACCGTTTAAACATGCCAAAGAGTGAAAACCAATCACAAAAAGTTGAAAACCACTCGGTTGGTTCGGACGCCAAAAACCAAAGCCGATAAACGCTGGATGGCTTGGTTTTTGGTTTGGGCGAACACCAAGTGTTTTTAATGACTTAAACAAGTTTGAAAAACATTTTTATGATGTAAGAAATGCAATGAGAGATTTTAGCCTAAAGAGCCAAGGTGTAAAGATTGGGTCGGTCTTGATCACAATGAAGACCGACTCAACGACACTAAGACTAAGGTCTTCGTTCTTGGTCTTCTTTTAGCTCTTCTTCTACTCTTCATTCTTCGCCTTGTATATTCAATGTTTGACTTGATCACGGCGGTTTGGCATTATCAAAACCTGTCATAAAAACAAACACGGCTTTAGTACGAAAACGTGACGAATCCGTGTTTCAACAATTTCCCCCTTTTTGATAATGGCAAACGAGACAAGGTTATGAATAGGAGGATAATATTGAGACTTTTAAAAAGAGTTCCCCCTTAAAAGATGACATTTGATTTTTTAAAATTCCCCCTCAATTTATGCATAACCTAGATATCTTCCCCCTTTTGACATTAACAAAAAGAATTAAAAGTAAACTTGAGAATTTAAAAGTGAACTTTTATTCATTAAAAGAGGAGAAAATGCGGAGTTCAACGAAATTGAAGTAAAAAATGCAATTAAAGTAGGGAAAAGAGAGAAGGAAGAGTCTAAGCATCGTCGTCCTCGTTCTCGGCGTCATCTTCTTCTTCGTCGTCCTCGACGTCCATGGGATCCCAGTCGACCGCATCCTCAAAGTCGGCTTCACCGGGGGGGAGGACGGAGCATAGGAGTTATCCTCCTCGTCCTCGCCTTTATAGTTTTGGCCGAGGAAGGTGCTGTCAAAGGGCGGCGGGACGTAGTTGATGCCGCGGAAGAACGCCCTCATGTCGTGGTGTTGGCGTTGCAGCGTGCTATCCATCCGCTCCAAGTATTGGCCCATGCCGCCCACGGTGATGGTTAGCCGATTCAGGGTATCGGCTATGGACTGCAACGAGGCCTGGGCGGGAGCGGGGGCAGGGGCACGGGCTGGGGCACGACTCGGTCCGGCGCCGTCTTGGTCTCCAGACTTCTTCCGGAAGGTGCTATCTTGGATGATCCAAATCTTCGTCATCTTCGTATCCGGTCCGGCGATGTGAATGTCGGAGGCAACAATGAGATCCATGACGAGGAAGGCGTATGGCAAGCTCCGCTCGGTGGTGATGGAGGCGCAATCCGCCATGTGAATCATGACATATTTTGCCCAATTGATCGAGGCGCCATGGATGATAGCATGAACCGCCTTGAGATCCTCGTTGGAGAGAGAGGTGTGGCTACTGTCCTGGGGGCGAAGAATCCGGGTGAGGATGTAAAGTAGGAGACGCTTTTCCGGCGGGGCTGAGTGGATGGTTGGTGCGCCGCTGTGACAGATGAGGTTGGTGATTCCAAGCTCTTGGATGACCACCGCCTCGTTGTTGAGAATCTAATCATCGCCACCATATGTCGCGATGTCGTCACCACGGGTGGGCAGCCCTGCAACCCGAGCAAAAGTAGCCAAGTCAAACTCTATGTCATGGAGATTGATGCTACTGCGGATGGTATCCCCGTCCCGGTGGAGATTGGAGTAGAAGGCCCGGACATAGGCGGGATTGAAGGAGGTGCGGCTCTTGGAGACGAAGGGCCACAAGCCCGAGTCCTTGAGTTGATCGTCGAGGTCGTGGTACCCTTTTTGCTGAGGAAACAACTCGGGCAGCACCCTTGGCGGAGAGATACGGCGTTTGGCGAAGTGGGTGATGAAGCGAGTAAGTTCCTCTTCCGACCCGAACTCAAGAAACGAGCCGTCCAGGTATGGAAACGGCTGGGGCGCAGAGGACGTTGCTTCGACGTTGGTATTCTTCTTGGAGGCCTTGCTCTTAGATTTTCCTCCAGCCATAGCAGCGTTTATGAAGTGGAAAGAATGAAAATTGATTAGGAGGTTGAAATTTGGATGAAAATTGTGGTTTAGAATGATAGAATATGATGTATATTTATAGGGGAGAGGTGGAGAACCGTTTGATTTTTAAAAAAATAGCTGTTGGACCATTAATGAAGCTCCCAACGGTTCTGAAAATTTGAATTTCGCCAGTCATCCCAGCAATGGGTGGATCTTCCCATCGATGGGAAGGACGCTACTGGAAAGCGATGGAAAAGAACAAGGCTGCCTTCCCAGCGATGGTAGGTATCTCCCATCGATGGGAAGGTTCATTCTGGAAATCCGTTAAAGCCTTTAAAAAAAATAGTGACAAACACCCAACGATGGTAGAGAGTTCCCATTGATGGGTAGGGAGGTTCTGGGAAAAAGTTTTTGACTAAAGTCCTTTACCCAGCGATGGGATGAAATACCCATCGATGGGTAAGGTGGTTCTGGTAATCCGTTAAAAAAAAGAGTCAATTACCCATCGATGGGAGAGAGTACCCATCGATGGGAAGAGGGGTTCTGAAAAAGAGAAGACTTCCCTCCCAGCGATGGTACAGCCCACCCATCGCTGGTTCCCCCTGATTTCCAGAATTCTTCATTTCGAACCGTCCCTGCAAAAAAGAGTTAGAAAACCCTCCAACGTTCAAGTTAGTAAACATTTAATCAAAGATAATAGAGTGATAAAATGCACAAATTAGATCATCGTGGAGTCAAGGATTCCGAGTTCGCTACGAATGCTGAAGAACGACTCTTTCTCTAAAGGTTTTGTGAAAATGTCGGCTAATTGGTTGTGTGTTTCAACAAACTCAATTTCGACATCACGTTTGAGAACATGATCTCTAATGAAATGGTGCCTAATGTCAATGTGTTTCGTCCTTGAGTGAAGAACGGGGTTCTTCGTCAAGCTAATGGCGCTAGTATTGTCACAACGAAGAGGAACGTGACTGATACTAAGGCCATAGTCCACGAGCTGTTGCTTCATCCAAAGGATTTGAGCACAACAACTACCGGTGGCAACGTATTCCTCTTCGGTTGTGGATCACGCAACACTGACTTGTTTCTTACTGAACCATGAAACTAAAGAGCTACCAAGTAAGTGGCAAGTCCCACTCGTACTTTTACGGTCCAATTTGCAACCGGCAAAGTCCGAGTCGGAGTAACCAACGAGATGACACGAAGAGCCTTTAGGATACCACAGTCCAATGTTAACCGTGCCTACAAGGTATTTCATGATCCGTTTCACCGCCGTTGAGTGCGATTCCTTCGGGCATGATTGATACCTTGCACAAAGGCATACGCTAAACATGATATCCGGCCTACTAGCAGTAAGGTAGAGAAGGGATCCGATCATACCTCGATACTTTTTTACTTCAACTTCCTTACCCTTTTCGTCTTTGTCTAGGTGGTCGGACGTGCTCATCGGGGTCGCCATTACTTTGGCATTTTCCATTTCGAATCGTTTTAAGAGCTCCTTGCAGTATTTTGTTTGGCAAATGAATGTGCCATCTTTCATTTGCTTGACTTGGAGTCCCAAAAAGAATGTAAGCTCACCCATCATGGACATCTCAAATTCGCTTGTCATTAACGTTGAGAATTCCTTGCACAAAGACTCGTTAGTAGCACCGAATATAATATCGTCTACATAAACTTGAACCAATAGGATGTTATTGTTTTTACTCTTGATAAAAAGTGTAGTGTCAACCTTTCCCCTTTGGAAACCACTATCCAAAAGAAATTTACTCCAGCGTTCGTACCAAGCACGGGGTGCTTGTTTAAGACCGTAGAGCGCTTTCTTGAGTTTGAAGACATGGTTGGGAAACTCAAAGTCTTCAAACCCCGGGGGCTGGTCAACATACACTTCCTCTTGAATAAAACCATTGAGGAAGGCACTCTTAACATCCATTTGATAAAGTTTAAAATCCATAGACGAAGCAAAAGCAAGAAGTAAACGAATAGCTTCTAAACGTGCTACAGGTGCATAAGTTTCTTCGAAATCAATGCCTTCTTCTTGATTGTAGCCTTTAGCTACGAGCCTAGCTTTGTTTCTAGTGATTATTCCATTTTCATC